AAAAGCAGCGACAAAACGTCAAAAATATGAACGTATAAGTGAAAAGAAAATGTCGACACCAATTGAAGATTTATGTAAAGGTTTTCCTGGTAGGAAATGTTTCACTTCTTTTTTTTTTTAAACAGATCGTATTGGTCGCCGCTTTGTCTATTTCATTTTAGCAGAATTTACAACGTATTTGTCTTATTGTCGTTCATTACGTTTTGATGATAAACCAGATTATTCGTATGTATAATCATAGGAAAGAAATTAAAAAAAAAAACAAAAACAATCTCTTTTTTTCTCAGATATTTACGACAATTATTTCGTAATCTATTTCATCGACAAGGTTTTACATATGATTATATATTTGATTGGAATATGCTTAAATTTGTATGATGTGTATTCGAAAAAAACAAAATTTTCAATATTAAAAATTTTGATTTTCTATAGAGCGGTCAACGTTTTGATGCGAACAGTGTTAATGATGGTTCAGCAAATAAAATTGAAACTAATGGATTTAGTGCTAGTGGTAATGCTCAACAAATGTATACTAGTACAAATAATCAAGGTGAGTTAAAGAAAATCGAAAAAATTTATTTTGTTTTTTTTTTAAATTTTTATTTCGTATATAATATTTCTAATAATATAATAAATAATAAGAATAGAAAGTAATGCAATGACTATTGATCAAACAATTCAAGATCAATCGATAAGTATGAATGATGATTATGTTCCAATGACAACCAAATATATTGATTATGAAGAAAATAATAATAATAAAAAGTTGTACAAATCATCTTCAACTCGCAATGCTAATAGTAAAAAAACAAATGCAAATAATGATTATGTCAATAAAACATCATCAAGTTCAAATGTCTTCAGCCGTCTAATGCACAGTGAGCTGCATGTTCCAAATATTAAAAAAAAACCAGCATAATTATCAATAAAACCAAAACGGCTGCTGCTTTAATATTATTATTTTTTTGTTCTATCCTATGCCTTCTACAGTTATCATTGCATCTATTAATCTAACATATCTATAACTATGGATAGGAATAAATAAATAAATAAATAAATAAATATGTATATATTTATATCGATATATTCTATTTTGCTTTAGACTTCGATGAGTCTGAACCACCAACAACGAAATCCAGAATGAAATAATTAATAATAAGAGAAGAAAAAGAAAGAAAAAAAAACGTACTAGAGAGAAAGAGAGAGAGGTAGTCATTATCAAATACTTAATGTGTGAATGAGATCTCTCTTTCCATATATTCTATTGCACATATAAATATTACTCTACACGCATTTGAACTTCTACAATGCTTTCAATAAATATCTCTTTTTTTTTTGTCTTCTTTTCCTAAATTTGCTTTATGCTTTTATATCTTGACTTTTTTTGTTTTTATTTTGAAAAAAAATTAAAAATAATATAATAATCATTTATTATAGGTGTGTGTCGACGAACATCTAAAGATATTCATCAAATACAACCACAACAATCAACATCGAATAATTCCAAACAACAATTACCAACTGGAACGGATACAGGTCGATCATCGTCAGCGCGTGTTCCTAAAAAATAATCTTGTACGTATATATATATATATTTTTTTTTTCTCTTCAGTGTACAGCGCCTGTTTCTATCTTTTGTCTTCTTGAATTTTTCTTTTTTTTTTAATATATATGTATATATATATATATCTATATATATTAAAAAATCATTCAGTTTGTTCATTTTTCGATCATAAATTTATTTGAGAAACGTCGATCTGTGAACAGTGTATATGTGGTCGATCACATTTCTTTTTCTTTCTCTCAGTCAAAAATAGATTGTTTTGACAATCAGCATCAATTTCTTCCATTGATCATATTTTCACATATGTTTGTATTTTTCTTCTGTTTTTTTTTGAAGTTTGAAACACGCATTTATATACACTCTATTCTCACTTTTTGGTCTCTAACACGTTTTTTTTCTGTCCTTGATATTTATTTGTTGTACTATTGATGCTGATCGTCATCTTCTTTCTTCTCTCTCTCTCTCTCTCTCGGTTTTTTTTGTTTGTTTCTTTTTGTCACTCTTTACGTGCGCGCAGCTTCAAATTACATATAAAAAGAGCACACACACACAACATTATTCTTCGGTTTTTTTTTGTCTTTTTCTTTTGTTTAAAAGATCACATTCTGTCAATAATAAAAAGAAAAAAACATTATATAAAGAATAATTTAATATTTATATATTTTATATATAGTCAATGTTAACAATTGACAGATGAAATAGTTCGAAAAAATTATTTTTTGGTTAGAGTTTTACTAAATGAACATTATTTATTCTCATTTTTTTATACTAAATAAATTATCGTTTAGTAGATAAATTAAAGATTCGATTTTCTTATACACAAAAACTCAATTTGGAAAAACTTTAAGTGTTATACAATCATCACTATCGGCTTAGTATATAAAATATCAAATGTGAAAATATCATTACATGATTTGTGAAATATTACTAACAATGGAGGTGTTTGTGTTATTGTTAGTTAATAAAGCTAGACATATTCGAGTTAAACTAGCCTGCCCTTGACATTCACCGACCGACATATATTCGAATTTTAGTGTATTTATGTCATGTGCTGTCAGTTCAAAATTTCAGCACATGACATAAATACCTTAAAATTCGAATATGTCGGTCAGCGTAAGTCAAGAGCAGCCTATAGTTTGGCGTGATGAAAGCTTTAGTTTGACCTGAATATGTCTAGTCTTATTATCTAACAATAGAAATACCTTCATTGTAAATTGAAAACATTTAACATGCACTTTTGATAATAAATTCAAAGAAATATGATATTCGAAATCGATATTCTAATAAATTACTTATAGATAATAATTAAATAGATAATTATTTTATGCTTGAGAAAAATATAATGTTTTTTATTACTATACAATTCTTGTACTCATATTACATCTAAGATTTTCAAAATATATTTGAACAATAAAGAAAACTAGGTTGTTCTGTTAGTGTAGAAGTGTATCAAGGTTTTGAATCGGCTGAAATCAATGGAATGAACAAGATTGATGTGTGTTTTTTTCCGTAGGCACTCATAGATCAAGTTCAATTCATGAGTCGACGTTTGAAAAATTGAGTGGACTCGATTGATTTTGCGATTTTAAGCTTCTCAAAAATAATGAGATGTAATAGAAGAGCATTTTTTTTCCTTTTCTAGTTGTACGCTTGTATAAAAATCTGGTACAATGATTGGACATTTCATTTTTTGTTTTACCAAATGAACACTTTAATGACTTCAGCATATAAGACAGAAAAAAAAATCTGGGTACCAGCTTTAACTAAGATAACCAAATTTGATCATCTGATCCGACTTATGTTGATATTCAGTTGCAAGCTATGGTATTACTGCCAGAATAGGATTCATTTACGTATCGTAAATTAATCGTAAACGGATCAATTCGATAAATCTGAGTTGTTTGTGTTAGAAAAGAATTTTGAATTAAACGAATCATCCATGGACGCTTATGATTTGCTACTGTTTTGCTTCAGTTGGATTGGACTGAAGATTTAATTATCGGCTGACGAAGGAATTTCTTCAGATGCTTCCCTTCTGATTTCAATGATTTTTTGCCTATAGATACTACATAGTGTTTTAATAGAAATTCTAAAAGGATTTGATTAATCTATCGGATTTTTTTTCTAAAGGTCCCAGATTTTCAAAAAACTCATATTTTCGAATTTTGATCTTAAACTTTGCATATATAGAGAACCTGTCTACATTAACTTCCATAAAACAAATACACACTCACACTTACATCCACTTTCAGACCATTCTAAAATGTACTGGCTTATACGATTGTACGTAATAACAAGAATACTGCAATTAGTTTATAAAAGCATTCTCTTTTGCAGTTTTTTTTTCATAGTAGTTTGTTTTCGGTTTTTTTTGCCTTTTTAGAAAAATAAGACGGAAAAATCTTCTGATGGTCTTTTTTCAGAATACAATACATTTTTATTAATTGAATGTATGACGCTTGCTGCCTACAAATTAACATATTTTACTTTATTTGATAGAGGACTATTTCATGCATTATATCATGAAAATAGTCTTAGAATATACGATTCTTAAGTCTTTGTATACAAACATTGAACTCAATCAACACTAGTCAATGACAAAAAAAAAAGAAAATCACTTTATGTTTAGTTTTTGCTAATGTACAACGGATTAAATCGTCTCTTTTTTCTGTTAACCATTTTGTGTATATTATGTTGTTTTTAATCAACTACTATAGTGCAACTAATCGTTGAAAAATTTAATGTTATAATAGAATTTAAATCATTATTATATACGAGTAATTGAATATCAGCATCCATAAGAAGCAATAACGTCGATATTTAAGCAGTATATACATCATATGATGTTAGAGAATGAATATTTTGTTGTTCTAAATGTTAAATAAATTATGATACTTGCATGAATGCATAGGTAAATATTTGTTGACGTACAGTACAACATAAGGATTTTTTTTTATTTACTGTTTTATGTAATATATTTCTTTTCAGTCAACATAGGATAAAATTTATTATAATTCACCTGACGTCATCGATTACGTATAAATGTTTTTTTCATTGAAAAATTATGCATTGGATAATTCATAAAAAAAATATAAGGAAAGACAGTTCCTTTTCGATTATGTAAATATAAATATGTAGGATTCAATATTCTTTTTCAATTCAATCAAAAAAATTTATACACATATTGATGTGTTCTGACAATAGTAGTATATATCAATGCCTTAATAAGGGTTATTGCAGTTCAACGGGTACCTGTATATGTTCGAGTGATTGTTTCGTAGGTAATTTCTGTGAGATTAATTATAATGCAGCTCGTTTACCACTTAGTGGTGCTATCATTCAAGATATTCCAACAGCACGAGACTTTTACATAGTTTTCTTTTGCCTATTTGGACTGTATGGACTTGTAAACAATATTCTTTCGTTGATAACATTTATGAATGAACGAATACGTCTTACAGTATGTGGTATTTATTTAATTTTGTTTTCTATATTTGGTACAATGCTTACATTAACCATTTTTACTTATATAATAAATATTGTTTATTACAAAAGTAAAACATATCAATTATTGGCTTGTTATGTCATACCATTTATATCTGTTATTTGTAATGATGGAGCTATTTTATTTACTACAGCAATTGCTGTTGAACGTATCCTTATTGAATGTTGGAATTTTAATAGTCAAGCACGACGAACACGTGGAATGTTTATATCAATAATTATTATCTTTTTTATATGCTGTTCGAATATAGATGAAATTTTTATTCGTCATATTTCTACTGATCTTCTAGATAATGAGATTTGTATCTATGATTTTGATCGATATCCAATATGGCGTCGTATTGATATTGTTTTTTCTTATATTCATGTTATTATGCCTTGTGTAATACATTTTATTTGTTCAGTATATGTTCTTACAGTAATTGCTCGTCGAAAAATATTTAATCGTGGTATAGAAAATAAATTTTTTTGTATATGGTTTGAACAATTATATCTTAATCGAGATTTTTTTATTCCACCAATATGTCTTATTTTTTGTGTTCTTCCACATGGTATACTAGGTCATTTACTTAGAACATGTATACCATATTCAGATAAAAGTAAACTTCGTCTTCATATATCATTCATAATTTTATTATTTGTTCCACAAATGTCAAGTTTTATCTTATATGTTTATCCGAATCAAAAATATTGGAAAGAATTTCAAAATACAATTATTTATCGTAAATTTTGGTACTGTTTTTATCATAGACGCCGAAGATTACAACAACAAATCGATATGGAATTACAACGAGAACAACTAAGAATGTCGATATACACCATTAGTAAAACAATTTCAGCTAGTGAACAAATGAATACCATTCTCTAAATGAATAATAATTTTATTTTCACTTGTTTTTTTTTAATGTTGTATTATCTTAGAAAATATAGGTTATAAGAAAACGATGAACAAACTTTTAATGCAAAACTCTTAGATATACAACAGAAATGTACACCATGCACGCTCTAATAGCAAGTGTGAGTCATTTTTGAGCAGTCGTAACTTAATCATACCATCTGTTAAACTCTATAGCTAGGTGTTTTCAAAATAGAATGTATATCAAGTGCTGAAAAGTTGACGGGAGGAATTTAATTGTTGACAGACTTATTCATTTTTAGATATTGTTTGCTTTGTCACTCCATTTCAAATACACATTTTTTTTTCATTGTGATGAGCATAATATTTCAATTTACCTAAAATTTAAAATTGCACAGATTTAACTACAAAATAAATTAGGACGAAAATGAACACTCTATAAATATATATAGATATATATCCGGTTACATTTTGCCTTATTAAATATATTCTTTCGTGACATTTTCAACTTTATGTTTTTTGTTCTTAGGTAAGTGTTCAGAAATGAAGGCCAGTTTTTAAGTAATATTATTGTGACACGACAGTTCTACGTCGATACTTCCGCGAGATGATATTTTCGCGTGCGATACTTCCGCGAAAAATAAAATTTTTTGCTTTTTTTCTATGTTAAGTTAATATACCTTCTAAAATTTTACTAACTGCTCGGGAATGTGGATGTCGGTTTTTGTGTGGGTTTTAGTGTTGGGATGTGGTTGTGGAGACTAGGGTTTCCATTCGTTTCATATATTTCAACATCCACGCCGAAACTTTACACTCACACCTACAGAACAGTCAATGGAATTTTTGAAGATATATTAACTTAAAAAACTTCATTTTGCGCGAAACTGTCGGTGAACCAATATTATACAGCAACAAACATAAGGAAAAAAATTGGCAAAAAAACTTGTTTTTCAGTTACGGTGTAGTGTTGAAGCGGTTGCGCTGCCGATCGAGCAAACTTTAGGCAGTAGCTGTCTCCGCCTCGTTTTGTAGACGCGGTGTGTATTTCTGATATACACATGTCCGTTTTCAACCTATGGAACATTATTGTCCTACAAGGAAACGTTTTCAACTGATCAATCCTTTTCTCAAAACTCTACTGGACTATGGGTTATCGACTATACTGGTTTGCTAGGAAATCAGTTTTCCAGACTAACAAACATTTTGTCAAAATCGTTTATGATCTACTCAGATTATAGAACATATAGAGTTTTCTGTAGGACAATTATTTTTTCTGTTTTTCAAAAATGAATTTTAAGTAAAATAATATAGAATAGAGGTATAGATGTGGATCTTGTCTTCTTAATCACCAACACCAAACTAAAGTATGCTATTGCATTTACAGGTTTCAAAAAGCAAATTTAGACGAACACGCTATCCTAGCTGAAACAGGTCAGACGAGTATTGGAAAAAATTCAATCTGTTTGTATAACAAATCGAAAACTGAAGAAATCATAAAATGATGCTCTGTCTTATAGGCGTGACAAATGGTTGAATTGTACATTAAATATGAAATCGTTCGATGTCTTAATTATAAGCAGTATTAGGAATGCAACGGTGACGGTGAACCACGGATTCACTGTTCATTGGTGTATTGTCACCGTTACATGCTTAGAGAAAATTGTGACAAAATGTGGTTAATTGAACAGTTAGATTAGACATATCAGTGGACGATGCAGTAGTGAATACGAAGGCAGGTTATCAAGTCGCTGGTAACAGATCTGGTACGAATTTGCATGGTAACGAGACACAAAACTTTGTGAACATGGTCATTTCGGTCAGGAAATGTCTATTTTGCGAAAATATTTTTTCAGAATGTTTCTTCAAAGATATTCGAGGCTGAGAAATCAAAATCTGTGATGGGTTTGCCAATAAAGGTCGAGTTAGAAAATTATAAGAAATCCTTCGTAAATTCGAACTATTCGAGTCCAAACAGCCTTCCATCAAAGTTTATAAAAGAATGTTATTTTCGTAATATAGATTATTCGTGACCAGAAAACTGAAATCACAAATTCATCATTACCGATTACTTTATATTGTAATGACAACTAACTAGAAATCGAGTGGTGTGACCGTTGAATCCATAAGTAGCATTTTCGCAAACACTCTTCTCTCATTTTTTTTTTCATTAATGATTATTTATTTCCTTTCTTTCGAATAGATTCAAGATTTTGTTTATATACTTCAAGATTTTGATAACGAGGAGGTAATACATATTGTCTAATTTCAACTACACGTTTATACGAAGTAACTGCCTCTGGATACTTTTTCATGCTAGTATATACTAAAGCAATATTATTATATGAAGTAACCAATAATGGATGAGTTGATGGAAGTTTGTTATCAAAAATTTCGAATGCTTTTTTCATAAAATGAGAGTGCTTGTAAATAGTCATTTATATTAGAATATACTAAAACAATGTTGTTATAACAAGTAGCTATATTAGGATGATATGGAGAGAGATGATTAAGATATATTGTAAATGCATCTTGATAGAATTCAAGTGCCTTCTTATAGTTTTGTTGATTAGTTTTCACTTGTTCAAGTTGATAATAGAAATGTCCTTCCTTACATTCATCGAATGTGCATTTACACATAGTTTCGAATACTTCTTCAGCTTTTACAAACTCATCAAGTTTTATCATTAATGTACCCAATCGATATAAAGCTGATGGTCCTTGAATTTCTACTCTCATGCATTCGATTAAATCATTGAGTTGTTGATCACTATCGTTTATCAGTGTAAGATGAATGTGCTAAAGGCGATCGTTGGTGCTGCTTGATTTTATATTACCAATACGACAAATAGTCTGCATTGAGAACAAAATTTCATTTTCTTTTTCATAGTAGCTAATGTCATTGATATTGGCAAAAGGAATCGATAAGATCAATGGATTTAGATTAATGATGAAAAGGATACCGATTGACGTGGAATTATTTAAAGCGATTTTAGCAAACTCTAAAGCGATCTTATTGTCTTTACTTGTTGATAAGAAATTATTAAACGATATCAATCCACCTTTTGTTTTTTTTAATTCTGCAAATTTTTCTGGCATTATGCTTTGACCACGATAGATGATAAATTCATTTTGAAACTCTATCAATTGTTGCAAATGAAATTTTTTAATATGTCGATGTAGATCGCGAATAAAAAATACCATCCTTATGATAACATGAAATTCTTGTTGACGAAGAGCCCAATTAACCATATGATAAATGAAAACATTCATAAGTATGCCACCATCTAGGTGAATTATCACCATATCCTTGCTTAAACTTTTGAATATTTTCGAATTCTTTCTGATTATTAGAATATTTATCACGACAATAGGTAATCAAACCATGAAGACTTTGATCATTATAATCAAATTCAAGAAGAATTTCTTTAATTAATTTTGTATACATAAATGATTGATTCAAGTTGATCCAAACTTTGATCAGATATATCATTTGTTGAAATAAAACTAATACCTATAGAATCTTCTTCAAATTGATGTGCTACTTGTTGTAATGATTTACATAGAATGGTAATATCTGTAAAAATATCTCGAACTTTGGACCACTTTCTTTTTAATGACTCATATTTTGAGTTGTTTTTACAAAAGATGAAAACTGCTGTAAAAGCTGAGACATGTGATGAATATGAAGCAAGACATATTGATCTGGGTTACCAGATACTACCATCAATACTTTTTATTTTTTGAATTTGTTCAAATAATTAACATATTGATCAGCATCATTAAATATATGAATGTTATTTACGATTGACTATAGTTGTATGATTGTATTATGATAATAATCATCATTTACATTAATGTTCGTGTGCAACCAGAAAAGAGTATAAGTTTGAATAATAAAAAAATCTTCTGAAGTTTTCAATATTGTATCAATATTATTTGATCGTGATATCGAAGCAGTCGACACTGTTTGTATTGTTGTTGGTTTAGCCTTAGTAGAAGGATTCATTTGTTTAGATTTTATTTCACTAGAGACATTACTGACGGTGATCAGTTTCTTTTTGTCCATGCTATATAAAAATTTCTGAACAAGCAAAACACTATATGAATCGAAACACTGACTGTGCAACTAGAAAATACCCTTTTTTTTTCAATGACTTTGTTTTAATATTTATAATAAGAGAATTTTTTTGTCAGCTTAAAATTTTGATTGGTTTCTATGAAAATTTTGCTTCACATGACAAGAAATATCAACATAGACATGCATTAACAAAAATCAAACAAACAAGAGTTGGAAAAAGTTGTTATGATTTCATCGAAGTAAGTAAAAATGATCGAAGCTCGTTTCGTCAACATGCATGCATTGTTGTGTGCATTTGAAAAAAATATTTGGCTGTTGTTAAAAAATATTTGGTTGTTTTCAAGGTCACGAAAAAACGCACAAAGGAAACAGTGGTTTGTGTCTCACGTCACATGATTTGATTAAATGTTTTTTAAGGACGTTCTAAAAATTCATTCAAGTCCTAGCATACTTGATCCATACCAAAATATATAGATACACTGCTCTGGGTGTGTCTTTCAGTAGTACTTCACTCTCACGACAGAGCAGTAGCTTTCACAATTTATTTTCTCGAGACTTTTTTGATAAATCCCGATATTTATTTCTGTTTTGAGATTTATTATGCTTTTTTTAAATAAATTCTGCTATCTGTCCCTATTTTGAAGTTTATTAGGACTTGAGAGTGTGGGTGTAGAAAATTCATAGGTCCGCGAGAAACCAAATTTATCTCGTTTTATGTATGGGTATACGTATTCTTTTCACTCTTACCTATCGACACCCATATCTCGCACCCGATAGAGACTAAATGAGGGAAAAGTATTAGAGGAACTAAAGGTACTCAAAGGACTAAAGGATGAAATATATGAAGTCATCGTAGCTTGAAAAGTATAAGAGTAAAAACAAGATAAATTTAGTTTCTCATGAATACCTCAAGGAATTAGATGCAGGAGAATGTCAATAGATCCATTGAGGAATTATTTGATGTTAAAGAGTTTGTATGAGAATTCCTGTGATATAATTAATATTTTCATAATAAATCCACTGGAAAAAATTAATCCACAGATAAATTTATTTATATTGAGATATATTTCGATTAAACTTACACTTGACGTCATATTTCTATAATGTATGATATAGAAAAAAAAATATTCTGGAAACTTAAAAAGATTCAAGAAATCCCAAAGAAAAATAAGCACTGGTAGACCCATTGTTATTCTCATTACTAATGAGAAAAATAAGTATTAAAAAAAGATGTATTTTCTTGCTGCCTCGAATTACAAATTTTCAAAGGCATCCATTAATTTTTATAAGAGTAAATATTTTTTTTCGTTTGAAAAAATGAACAAGGCAGTATTTAGACATGCGTTTTTATTTACACAATAGGTGTTTACATAAAAACCTTTCATTAACAGTAGAAAATGTCATAAAAAAATGAATGTTTGTCGTTCTTATCTTTTGTTTGAAATTGCCAAAGTAAAAGCAAAATTGATGCATAAACAACATTTTTGTAGTTTTGTGGTGAACAATCGATTCTAAAATATTTTAAAATTCTCTCAAAAAAGATGGGTTCTGGGTGCTGCGGTGGCAACCGTACTGTTGTACAGCCTAAAACAAATCCTGATGTATACAGAACCAAAAGTCCACCAATAACACGTAAACCTGAAACTAAATTAACCAGAAATAAAAGTCCACCTGTAATGCGAGATAATTCAACAATGGAGCGATTTTTGAAACCTATCATTACCACAACAAATCCTTTGAAACTTATTGATGGTTATCTCCATGAACCAGTTGTATCTCTTGAAGAAGCTCTTCAACCATTCGATGGTCAAATTGATCAATTATCTTATCACATTAAAGAAGCTAAAGCCAAATGCCATTATCCATCAGAACATAATCTAACACATGATGAATCAGCTGCTATCTATATTTATACAATGAAATGGGATAATAAATGTGTTTATGATCGTTTGCAAGAAGCATGGAAGTCCGAAGATCGATCTAAAATGAAACCATGGTTCAAATATCTTAGATTATTCAAAAGTGCATTTGACAAATTACCTGATGCTAAGAAAGAAATTTGGCAAGGGACACTTTTTGATGAAAGACTCATAGAAAAACTAAGTTCAAAGTCATCAACAATCTATTCTTGTATGGGCTCATGTTTACCATCATCTAATGAAGTTAAAGACTATCTAGAAAAACATGATAGTACAAAGATAATTCTTATTGGCTATGAATCTGTCCATGGAAAGTCAATAGTTGGTTATACAGCTAATCCATGGAACGAACACATATTATTTCCTGGTACGAAACTGGGTGTAACAAGTTACAACGTGATCAACGCTAATGGTTCATTGAGTATACATTTCAAAGCACTGACTAGTAAGTAGAAATGTAGTACAGCCATACCCTTTTCTCTTTGTTTCTGTTGAATTATTTATCATATAATCAAAGCTCTTGTTGATATGATGAAATCTGAATAGATGAAAACACCTTTACTTAATAATAGAGTATAGATTACTGACTCTTCATTTATATTTAGATACTCCTCAACCAACAGTCAAAAACAAAACACTAAAAACGGAAAAACACTTCGTATGTGAGAATCATGCTCATAATCGTTCATTTATCATGCAATATTTGATTGCATTATAAAGTAGCATTCTTTACTTTTCATCAAGCATCATTGATAAATAAATAGTTTGTAGTAATAAAATTGATTCTTATATCAGATCATCGTATTTTCTTTTACTTATATTTAGACTTATTTTGACATGAACAAAATATCTGAAAATATGCATCGTTGTCATAGCAACCATAATTTGCATCATTGTAATGGATGTATTGTTCTTTTG